GCGCAAACTTACTACTAAATTAAAGCTTATTTAAATTTTAGTCTAAGGATTTATCCGTGCTTTAATAATAGTCTATAATTAAAACTTAAAGCTGCCTAGCAATGCCTAAACAACTTAGTTACTATTAGGGAATCTATAGTTCTATTGCTATAATTTTTAGATAATAACGTATTAAGGCTGCTAATAGCGATTGTTAAAAGTCTCTTAATAATCTATTTAGCTAACTTAGTATTGTGTAAACTTTACTGCCTTAATACTATATTAAAGTGCTGGGTATAGTACCTAAACTGTAATTTTTATACTAATTTCTCTTACTGCGTGGTATAATCCGCTCTAGCGTCGACTTTACTTTTAATTATAGAAATATTAGGTCTGCTAATAGTAATTGTTAAAGTCTCTTAATAATCTATTTAGCTAGCCTAGTATTATATAAATTTTACTGCTTTAATACTGTATTATAGTGCTAAGTATAGTACTTAAACTATAGTTTTATACTAACTTCTCTTACTACGTTGTATAATCCGCTCTTGCGTTAACTTTACTTTTATTTATAGAAATAAGCTTTTCTAATTTATATTAAAAATATTTAAATATTATTTACTGCCTATTAAAGTAACTATAAATTAACAGCTATAGCAAGGGCAAAGAGGCTCTCTAAAGTTAGTTACAAAAAATTAAGCTGCAAAAATTTGGATTTTTACCTAGGTAGGTAACTAAATTTGGCAAAAAAGAAGAAAAAATACAGCTTTTATTATTAGAAACTGCAGGATTTGAACTCAGTTTACTGCATATAATTCAGATATAATTCGGGTATAACTTAGATATAATTCGGATTTAATTAGACAATTTATTAAACTTAGCTATATAGTTAACTAAATTATTAAGGTTTTTAGAGCCGTAGAAGCTTTTCCTTAATAGGCTATAATATTTGAATTTAACTACAATTGTATAGCTGCAACAGCAGCTCAAGCCTCTATTTAAAAAAAAAAAAAGTAACTATAAAAAAATTTAATTTAATTTTATTATATTTATATATTTACTTTTTTATTATTAAAGTAACTATTAAAATTATTATTATTTTTTTAGAAAACTTTAGATACTTTAAAACTTTTTCTACTAAATATTAATAATACTAAAAAATAATTTAAATTAAAAATATAAAAGTTAGTATACTTGCAGACTATAATTATAATTTAGCTATTTATTTATATATTAGAATTCTTAAGCATATTATTTATAAAAGCTAATAAAAAACTTATTTTTATTTATTTTACTTTTTTCTAACTAAGTATATAAATTTTTTTATTATATAAATAAAAAATATTAGTACTTTTAAGCTTTTGCTTTTAAAATATTAATACTACTTTAATATTATATTTTATTTTTTTTATATTAATAATAGAAATAAGTACTATTTTTTTTTATTTTAATATTTTAAGTACTATAAAAAATAGTATAATATCTGCTAGTATAAGCTTAATATTTAAAACTAACAGTAGGTAAAGCTTATATATATACTATTTATATTTTTTAAGCTAAAATAAAAATAAGCATTTAAAGCTATATTTTTAATTTTTTTAATTTTTAAATATAAAAACTGTAATATATTTTTTATAATAAATATAAAATAGCTATAAAAAACTACTCTAATAGCAAATAATATAAGAGTTAGAAGTATAAGCAATTATTCTTAAAATATTTAATATTTTTAAAAAATTTTACTAGTTTTTTTAATTTTTTTAAAAAGCTTTAAAAAAAATACAAGCTTATTTATATTAAAATTAAAATTTTAGTTTTTAAAGATATGCAGTACTTAAAAATTATATAAAAAAATAATTATAATTTTAACTATTTTTATTTTTAATATATTTTATATATATTAAGCCTTTTTTTAAAAATTATTATTTATTTTAAATTATAGAATAAATACTTTTACTTATCCGGCCCGAGCCGCTTGTGTAAACTAAATTTTATATTAATTATTTATATTTTCTTTATAGGAAACTTTATTAATTATTACTAATTAAGTAAACTAATAATAATAAGCACTAACTAACTAACTATAATAACAACAATAACGGCAATAATAATAGCAGCTATAATGCAATACAACAGTTTTTTTTACTTTTTTAATAATAATAGTACTGCTCTTACCTGTTTTAAATAGCTAGCTCTAGTATAACTAAGTATAATACTATTACTATTTAAGCTTTGCTTGCCTTTTTTTAAAAGCAAGCATAAAACTTAGTTTTATTTTTATTTATTTTTTTTTTTTATTTGCAAGCTTACTAAGAGTATTTTTTTTATAAAAAAGCTTTTATTATTACTATTATAATAGTATTGCTATCGACAGCTACGGCGAGGGCAAAAAGGCTCTCTAAAGTTAGTTACAAAAAATTAAGCTGCAAAAATTTGGATTTTTACCTAAGTAGGTAACCAAATTTGGCAAAAAAAGAAGAAAAATACAGCTTTTATTGTTAGAAACTGCAGGATTTGAACTTAGTTTACTGCATATAATTCAGATATAATTAGGATATAACTCGGGTATAACTTAGGTTTATTCTAATATAATTTAGATTTAATTAGACAATTATTAAACTTGGCTATATAGTTAACTGAATTATTAAGGTTTTTAGAGCTGTAGAAGCTTTTCTTTAATAGGCTACAATATTCGAATTTAACTACAATTGTATAGCTGCAACAGCAGCTTAGGCCTCTATTTTAAAAAAAAAAAAAAAAAAAAAAATAGTATTGCTAAAAGTAGCATGCTTAAATACTAAATAGGCAAATATATAAATAGAAATAGCTTTTGTACTATTTATATAGGCTTTTAGCTTACTATAAGCAGCAATAATTTAAATATTAGTAATACTAAATTACTTAAAATAGCGCCTTCTAAACTATAGTAGCAGTATATAGAGGTTATTAAAAGCAGAGTATAATTTAGTAATTTATAAAATAATAAATTTAATAGTACTAGTACTAGTATTAATAGTAGTTTAGAAAATTATAGGGTACAGGTAATAAGATAGCTTATTTAAAATAAAAATATAGTAGTTATTAAAAATAAATATTATTTTACAGTTAACAATAAATAATAAATAGTAGTAGTAGTAGTAGTAGTAAATAAAAATAATAAATAAAAGATATAAATAATATTTTTTAGACAAAGTAGCTACCTGCTTAAAGAGTTGTAGCCTTTTAAAAAGTATTTTAAAAAGCTTAATAATAATAATAATAATAATAATTTATAGTTATATTTTTACTAAGCTTAGCTTAAGGCGGGGTTAGTAGTACTTTTAATAAAGCTAAATTATTAAAAAATAAAAGCTAGTTTTTAGAGTAGTATTAGTATACTAAGCTTTTAGCTAGGCTGTTATACTTACTAAGCTTAAGTATTAATTACCTGTAATAAATAAAACTAGCGTTTTTATATATACTTATATTTTATTATACTTTTTGTATTTTTTTTTTTACTAGTAGAGGGGATTTACTAGTTTAGACTATTTGTGTTTATTTTGTAATACTCTATCTTATTGTCTATATAAAATTCTATAAAAAAAAAATACTTTTACTTATTTTTACACTTTTATTATTTTTAAAGTTCTTAGTATAAAATTATATAATAAAAAAATAATTTATTTTTAAAAATTATATAGCACGCTAGTACTTATTTAAAACTAGCTTTTTACTAGTAAGCATAAAAAGGCGCAGCTAGAGTTTTACCTTTGCCCTTTTAATTCTGTATATATATTGTACACTGTGTCGGGAATCGTATTATAGCTAACCTATTAGCGTTAGGCTACTCCTCTAACAAGCTTTTCTAAATTAATCTATAAGTAGGTATTAGTAGGTTATATAACAGAGTAATAATTAACAGACCTATAAAACAGGGAGATCTGACGTATAGAGAGCCTGTATTCTGACGTTCTGTATTTTGACTGGCCGGCTATAGTACAATTCCCAACACGGTGTATATGTGGTCGTCTCTGTGAGGTCAGTCAACTGCCAAGACGACTCCTCCGATTATGACCGCACATATTGCACGATAGAGTGTGCATGATTCCTATGATACCACGTAACATAGAACTCTTCTGCGTTTACTACCTCAATGTGAGATGTACTGTAGGGTTATCCAAGCACAAATTGTCGGAGATCAAAGATAATGCTCATTATTTTATGCACGGCAATTTCCGAAACCGAGGCCTCCTTCCTGGCTAATCACTTCTCAATGCAGACTCGCCTAAACTATAGCTATGCATGCGCGGCGATCTATCGAGCATGCACGTGTACTGTTGATCATATTGTTTCCCGCGGCTACATTTTCGCTCACCGCTACATCAAGAGTATGTTCCGGGCTTGCCGGTAGGCCTACCATACGATAAGGAAAAGAAGACCCGTTTAATTCCTGTTGGCGCAACTATGAATCATTGGCATCGAATCACTACTGGATGGAAAAAATGCCGAACCTCGCGTAGAGTTGGAACGGTTTTAGTGCTTCTCATCAATTGCAAACTCAGCCGACAACTCAGCAATTGAGCCATTTTCGTCGCAGGTGACGGAGTGGAACCACAGGAATGGCTCTTTTCTCGGATCTTCTTACTCTAATTAGAAAAATCAAGTGATAGATCAGACATCAGCAGTTGACAACTCAGCGGTCGAGCCATTCTCTCTCACAGATGGCGGAGTGAAACCCACAGAAATGGCCGTTTGCTCGGGATATGTTTACTCTAGACGAATCATACAACATCTGTTGTGAAGGTGACGTGTCAGGAAGAAAATGAGCCGGAGCGGAGACCATTACCGAAGATCTCAAGAACTCATCGTCCCTGAGGCAAAAGAGCAGTGGGAAACGAAGGCTCATATGGAATCACTCTGATATATCCACGTTGTTGTTTAAGACCATGTTCTTAATCCCTGAATTCCAGGAGCCCAGATCGTAACATTACCTTCACGACTTACTAGGAGCTCTAGCAGGCTTTTTGACCCTTTCTTTTCTCCTCAAATTTCGAACAGCCGCTCCGTAACAGCTAGAGATGATTCACTCGTCCTGGCGACCCGATATACCTACATTCGATCAATTTATGCTATAGCGTGTTCTCCTCCACACTCCTTCCTTTTCATGTCATATCACAATGATTCAGAGAAGGAGTAGCGCTGCAACGAAGACACCTGCTGCTAAAAAGGTAATACCGCACAATCCCTTATTTTCCAGCGTTGGCTAACATGTCCATAATATAGAAATCCAAACGGAAGAACAAACGGCAGACTCTTGCGCTGGTATGTCTTCATCACTCTGTACTGTTCCTGTCTAACATCAATACTAGGGGGGTCCCCAAAAAAGCACCCTTCATACTGCTGTAGACAATCGGCCGAGCCTTCCGTCCCTTGCGCAACTAAACAATGAAGGATCAAATATTTCCGCACTGGAGGATGGCCAATGTCTCGCATGGTCAGCCAACCTCAAATTCGTTCCAGAGCGAATGGGAAATCTTCATGCTTGCGTTCAAGGATTGAAGAGGCGCCCCGACATCATTGCAATTCAAGACCCCCCACTCGATTTCCCTTTCATCGCATTCCCTGGGTATTCGCGTTGGTACCGCGCAGATGATGAGAAGAAAAAGGAGGTGACCGAGGAGGACAAATCGACATACCGCCCGTACCGATTTCGGTATAGTCGCGACCCGATACCCGAGAAGAAAGAACCCACAAAGTTGGCTAAGGTCGCTTTCCTGATCCATGAAGCCCTCAATGGTTGGAGTGTCAGTCAACCAGAGGACGAAAACCGTGGCATTGTAGCTACACTACACCTCGAAACACGAGACGGCAGCTCGATCGCGTTCCACAATGTTTATAACCACGAGAAGAGATTAGATGTTGAAGCTCTCACCGAGCCCTGTCTGGATGAAACCAAAGCACACGTATTACTCGGAGACTTCAATCTACACCATCCACTGTGGGGCGGAGGTCAACTGAAGAGGCGCAACATTGAGGCGAAGGCTAAGTTACTTGTCGAGAAGGTGAACGATGTCAATATGATATGTCTCAACGAACCAGGTATCGTTACCTTTTCACGTGGCACGCAATCCGGAGGTAAGGATACAAGCGTGGTGGATCTAGTCTTCGTAAGTGAAGTCATTACTGATCAGGTGCAATACAAACTTCTCGACAAGGTTAAGGGTTTCGAATCTGACCATCGCATTTCTACGGTGGCCATCAATCTCAAAATGGAGAGAAAGACTGGAATCCGCTACGTCTGGCGTCTCACTCCGGAGAAAAAATTCCAGAAACTAGTTGCGAAAGAGTTGGAAAAAATCGACCTCCCGCACCTCCCTGACGAGCATCGCACAGTCGAAATACTGGATGCTGTTATTAACAAGGTTCTGGTGCCTGCCATCCAGGAATTCGTCCCCGTCGTTCAAGTCTACGAGCCCGAGGTGAAGGTTAATGTCCAACCTTCCTATAGTACCGATCGCACCGTACGTACTAAGAAGTGGCGCCAGGCCGTCAAAATTATGGCTAGGAGCCGTCGAGGCATTTTTCACTTGGCTAAACGGGCCCAGAAATGGGGTATGCCCAAGAGACTGGCTTATACTCCAGACTTTCAATATTTGACCAATACCTACCGATCCAACTCGGACAAGGCCGACTGTTTTGTGATGGCCACGTGGACCAAAGCTAGGAAGAAGTCCCTGCCTCGGAAATCAGTACCCACGGCCAGCCCGGATGACGAAACAAGTACCGTAGGTTGACCCTGTTTTCCTCGACGACTTCATGTGGGCTAACTTAATGTAGGATACGGATGATCAACAGAACTCCTGGTTCTCTACGAATATACCTCCTCTCTCCGCCACCAAACCCGATTTTCCTCTTCCCGCTCTCGATCCTACAAGGCCACAACACTACTCTCCAGACCTCTTCACGATAGAAGAGGTTAATCAGCTGTTGAGCGACCTACCGAGTCACAAAGCATTTGGAATTGATGGAGTTCCTTACGAGGCTCTCAAAATGTGCCGAGAGGTTCTCGCACCATACATGTTGTACATCTTCAACGCTTTGATTAGGCTGCGCCTTCATCCCGGCCATTTCAAGGACACCATCACACTAGTCATCAAGAAGTTGGGAAAGTCACCGGAACTCCCTAACTCGTATCGACCTATTGCAATATTGAATTGCTTTGGAAAGGCATATGAACGATTGATTACTGATCGCCTCAAGGCCGTTGTCATGGAGCACGATCTTCTTCCTTCCACCCAATTTGGCGCCCCTGGCCGAAGCACGACTCTAGCTTTGGAGCACGTTGTTAACACCATCCATGGAGGTTGGCTACGCAACAAGAAAGTCACTCTCCTTGGTCTTGACCTTAGCGGCGCCTATGACCACATCGACCGCACCCAGTTGTTAGAGCGTTTAATATCAAAAGGTATCCCTGACTGGCTCGTCAAAGTTGTATGGTCATTCCTATCGGATCGCCGCACGTTCATAAATATGCCTGGATACGAGGGCGGTGAGTACTGGATCGATGTCGGCATCCCGCAAGGCAGTCCGCTGTCACCCCTCCTGTTTCTGTTCTATGCGGCTCCAATTCTCACGGACTTCCTTGGACAGTATGCCAGCCACGAAGTCATGATGTTTTCCTTTGTGGATGATACATACATCCTCATTGCAACCGACTCATATTCCGAAAACTGTGAAAAGGCGACCCGCATTCACGAAAAGCTTGACACATGGGCCCAGGCAAACAACCTTCACTTTTCGCCAACGAAATACCACGTCATGCACTTTGTGCGGCCCTACGAAAAGAAATCAGATGATACGATCGACTTGCTGCCCGACATCCCAGAGTTCCGCAATATAACAGTTAAAGAGAAGGAAAAGATTCTTCCTGATACCCTAGTAATTCTTGGGATCAGATTCGACAAGCGTCTGACATGGCTTCCCCATGTCCAAGAGGTAAGCATGTCTGCTAAGTCTTCATCTCCTACTAACCTAGTCGTAGATTCGAACCAAGATACAAAAACATCTAGGCACCTTTTCCCGATTTAATGGATCGACTTGGGGTGCCGACTTCGTTCAACGACGCCGGCTATATCACGGCAAGATCCTTGCGACAATTTCATACGCTGCAGCTGCCTGGTTTATTCATGATCCAACTCGAACGCCAGAAGAAGGCAGGCTGAGATTCGGCCTAAGTCAAAAAACTCTGGAAGTACTGGAATCATTACAAGCTGAGATTCTGCTGGCTCTAACCCGAGCATGGAAGAGAACAGCTCGCGAAATCATGGAGAACGAGATGCATGTCTTGCCTATTGTATTGAAGCTGCACGAGCTTGCCATGAGTCATCGATGCCAGCAGTTCAATTCCCCGGAATACAAGAAGATGGAGTTGATGAGGCAGAACGGCAATATCAGGCAGCGGATCAAGAATAAACATCCATACCATCAGCTCCGCATGCTTGCCGAAAACCATCTGCAGTGGATTTACAGAAGGGAGCAGCGGTGCTACGATGTCGAGACCTTCGAGAGGCTATGGTCTTCGCCTAAAAAACGGAAGATATGGATCAAGGAATGCACGGCACAGAACGCAATGAACCAGGCATGTTTTGTTTGGGAGCTTTACCAGCGCAATCGTGCTTTTGATGGAAAGATATTCCATATCGCTCACGAAGGTTCCTTCATCGACCACACTCTTATCTTTTACTACCAATTGGACCCTGTACAGAGCACGATGTTGATCGGGATGAGGACCGGCAACCTTGGACTGAACACCAACACGCTATACCGATATAGCACGGGGATTACGGATCCAAAATGTCCGCTATGTAAACAGCATTTGCACACAGCCGAACACCTTTTGTGCCACTGCAAAGCGCTATCCATGGAGCGGACTTATCTGCGGGAAGCGGCCCGTCACAACAACTTCCGTGCCTTTGTGACCGTGGACAGCGAGCTTGCCACGGCATGGGCTATTCGCTACTTTGGCCTCGACCAATTCAAGAACGTCAAGGACAAGAAGAAGTATTGTTTCCCTCGTAAGCGCACTCATACGTTCTCTGGGGAACTTGTATAGTAGTTGGGATGTTCGTAGCAGTGTCAATACCAAATATTTCTCTCTAGTCCGGCCCGAGCCGCTCGTGTAAACCAAATTTCGTGTTAATCATTCGTGTTCTCCCTACGGGAAACTTCATTGATTATTACTGACTAGGTAAATTGGTAAGTTGCTCTTGGAGATATGGTATATAGTATACGGCTGACTACGAGTCCAGACAATAACAGGCACCGACCGACCGACCACAACGACGACGACAACGGCAACGACAACGGCAGGTACGCTTCTGTCGCGATCAGAATCAATGCCAGCCTATTGACGTATTTCAGCCACGATGCAACACGACAGTCTTCCCGCAAGTTCCCCACCTCATGTAGTGATGCATGTTACGACATGAATGCTGACATGTTCTGATTTCTGAACAGCACCTCTCGTAAGTTACCAGGCATACCCTATTCCTGCTCGCAATATGACGGTTTTGCGATATTAGAGCTAACACATGGTTCGATACCCAGCGACGATGACAGCACCGCTGTAAGTCTACGACCGACTTGGTGGCCCAACACATGCGAGTTGCGGCTGACAGCGCCTAGCCTACCCGTCCCGAATAGCCAGCTCCGGTATGACCGAGTACAACACCATCGCCATCCAAGCCCTGCTTGCGTACGTTGCCGGCAATCTGCTAGGTGTCTTAGGTACTAATATCATTAGCTCTCCCCAAAGGCAAGCATGAAACTCAGCCTCATCCTTGTCCATTTCTTCTTTCTTATTTGCGAGCTTACTAAGAGCGTTTCCCTGTAAAGAGGCTCTTATTGTTACTACCGCGGTAGCGTTGCCGAAGGTAGCATGCCTAAGCACTGAGTAGGCAAACATGTAGATAGGTAAGTTTAGTTACAAGAGAGAAACAAAGCTAAAGTAATAACAATACGCGCAGAGATGGCTTCCGTGCTGTTTATGTAGGCCTTCAGCTTGCCGTAAGCAGCGATAACCCGGATGTTGGTAATGCCAAATTGCTCGAGATAGCGCCCTCCAAACTGTGGCAGCAGTGTGTGGAGGTTGTCA